GATCTGACCATGACAGAGGCTCAGTAATTACCTCCCCTGTTTCCAGATCATTTTGCCACTGACCGGAGACAAAAATTAGATCCAGTGTGTGCCCTCCTATGTGAGTGGGGGCACGTACTAATTGGGTCAAGTCCAAGGCCGTCATGGAAGCCAAGAACTCCTGAGCTGCCGCCGACGCCTCGCCCACTGATGGCAGATTCATTTACATGGGGCAGAGCAGATGGATCTGAACCTGGTCCATTCCAATTCTAGGCATCTATGGAGCTCCAGATTGTAAAGGTCTGTTACAACAAATGGAAAGCATAGCATCAGTGCCCCCCTCATAAATATTTTGTTTGGTGGAGAAGTGGAACTATAAAGATTAAATAACAAAAAGACCTGGCTACAATCTGACTGGGTCCTTGTAATTGGGCTACTGTTGATTGTCCTGGACATAGAACTGGGTGGATGAGAAATTGCCCAGGAATAAAACCATCCCCAAAATTCCTGTTCTTCTCTTGTTTAAAAAAGAACTTCCTTTTTCAGATCTGGGATACCGAGTCAGGTTGAACTGCACCTGGAACAACCTGGAGACTATAATAGGCCATTTATGGAAGCCTGGATCAGGTTACTGAAGTAGTTCAGGTGATGTCCAGAATCCCTTAGAATAAAGTTTACATAACTTGTTTCTCAATTTCATCAACATTACTGTATAGAGAGTCTTCTCTGTAAGAGCATTAATTTGAAACTCCCTCTTGAGGAAGGCTAATTTGGCCCCTTTGTTATTTCACTTCAGGCAGCCTATGAAAAGCCTAGCATTCCTAACAAAGCTTAGCATTTCAACTAATTTAAATGTACCTAAACTCTCAGTTTTAAATTACTTCCTTCCTATTTCTCCTATTCATCTAGCACACTACTTGTAAAGCTGGGGAGAGGGGGAAAATTAACAGTTTAATCTAAATAGCAAGTCTTCTTTGGTCCAAAAGTTAACTAATATACCATGAATGAATGAATGAGTGAATGAGTGAATGAATGAATGAGTGAGTGAGTGAGTGAGTGAGTGAATGAATGAATGAATGAATGAACGAGCAAGCTTTAACAGAGATCAGCTAGAGTTGCTTTGGGTGCCTTATGAAATCAGAAGACAATATTATAATACTGACCTCCCTTGAAAATTAACAGTAAAGGGGAAAACCCAACATGTCCTGACAGCTAATGGCTATTAAGTCCCAGAAATCACTGTCCAATACATTTGAAGAGCAGAAAATTGGGGAAGGTCATGACATGCTCTGTACTGCTTGTGTGAATAGAATAGAATTCTTTATTGGCCAAGTGTGATCAGATACACAAGGAATCTGTCTCCAGTGCATAAGCTCTCAGTGTACATACAAACAACAAAGTGATAAGTCATAGATCATAAATTATAAGATACCAACAACAACTGCTAAATCATAATATACCAACAGGAGAAGCTAGCAAGAAAGATGAGAGGTGATAAAGATGAGAAGAGCATTCTGGCTTTGGATTTAACCACTGACCCATGTGGAAAGAGCAAAAATGCCTCTCATAGGGGAATATTGGGATCATCTTAAGAAGCTGATGCAGTGGGCAGTGTACCGTGAACCATCACTTGGGAAAAGATTGGAAAAAACATGAGTCCTGTTGATGTTTCCAGTGAGCTGAAATTGTCAACTGATGTGATGCAACTGGGAACTCACTGTTCTATGAAAGAAGCAAATATGCTAAAAATATATCTCGAAAGCATCGGGTGAAAGAGGCAGTGCTCTGTTCGGAGCGAAAAGGCAGCGCTCCATTTCCTTCCGTGGGCTCCCTTTGAAACTACTTTTGTTTCTCTACAAATCAGATTATCAGGAAGTGCCTCTTCCCCCCCCCCTTCCTCTTCTTTACCTCTTGTAAGTACAAACAGTGAAGGCTACCCAAAGCACAGCTGCCGTTCAAATATTCTTGGGCAGCTTGTATCATTCCACTTTAGCTGCAAGTCTGGGCAGCTTTGCCGCGAAGTAAAAGCCTTTTGAGAATAGGCCCAGCTCATCTGTGATTCAGCAAAAATGTACACCAAAGAGCCAAGTATTATGGAAGGTCAGGCATTTAAATAGCCCTCAAAAGGCTAAGTGGGTTCAAAAAGAAAGGGAGATAATTAAACATTTGAGAGGCTGCCTCAAATTTTACTATGTCATTACCCTGGGTAGAACAAGTGTTTCCATCAAAAAGGCCACCTATTTCTTATTCATCTATCCAGACACATAACCACAAACTACAAGGCGGCTTCTTTTTAACCACCAAAACATCAGCAAACAGGACCATTTTAGTAAACTGCATTAATACATCAGTTTTCCAGTGTATCAGTTTTGAAGTATTTTTTTCCGTAAATAAACACATGAAAGATTCATAGATGTTTTCTGTTCTTAGCTTTCCCTAATAGAGACAGAGACTACAATATTGTATACAGTGTTTTCTAATACATGCAGCTTTAGCATCAATTCATCCCAAAACCATTTTATAAAAGGTTTCACCTTCTTCTTGATGTCCTCCCTTGTTATGTTACATTAATTCTTTAGTTGTTGGCTTTTAAAACCTTCTTTAAAAAAAATTTACTTCAGAGAAATTTAACTACCCCTTTGTTTATGCAACCTTCAAGAACATGCTTTCTTTTTCAGATTGATATTTTACAAGCTGTTGTGCACAAACCAACTTTTACAAGTTGGTTTGTGCAGGGGTTTTTTCCCTTCCTAATCAAAATCAGATGCTAGTAGACTCAATTCAGTACTGCCATTACTAATCTAATCCTACAGATTTCTTCCCATAAAACCTGGAGCCGATTTCTTTTATAGTTATAACAACTATGTACTGCATAAAATTTTATGACAGAAATAGGGACTTGTATTTCCTGTGATGTTTTCCCAAACACCTATATCCACATTGTAACAGAAAGACTAGCTGTTGTTTCCAAAAATTGAAGAAGACAAGGAGCTAGATATATTTGCAAATCTAATCAGGTGTATTTTGCTTCCATTAAACAACACTGGACTATTATTTAGTGGTGAAATTGAGCACTGCTTTAAATACTTACAGATTCTGTGAGGGTGAATCTGCAGCAGGGATACATAGGTATTTTATTCCCTGTAAAGAAAGGAAAAAGGAAAATTGTAGTAAAACATATTCAGAGATAGGATCCTACTTTTGTTCTGGATGGTGCCCAGAAAACATTTTAAGATTAAGATTCATCAATCAGATTTTATGCAGCCTGATTTTTGCTGGAATGGAAACAGTCAGATTTTTTTTGTTTTATTTATCACATTTCAATGTATCTTTTTTTGTATTCTAATGCTATAAATTACTTACCAACTGTCTGACATGCATTTCTTCCTTTCTTACATGAATATGGAAAATAAAATGCATGTGTCTCTTGGGGAAGATGGTTATTAATTTCAGTGCTATATATAATTGGTTTTCATTATTTTTTTCAAAAAATCAAACAAAGTCTAGTATGGGCTTTTGAAAACAGACAGTTTCCTTTTTGAAGATTATTCAAGTTCTGTCCTAAAATCTTAATCGGTTTCTAATAAGCTATATTCACTTTTTTGGTCAGCCCTTACCAAAAATTGTATGTAAAAGAGAAAGAATGAAAAGTGAAAAATCATATAACAATTGCCTTGCTGGATTCAAACAACATCATTAAACTCTTTGATGCTTTCTCTATGTAAAAGAGAACCAACACTGAAAGTCAGTAAAGTCATAGATCAGCCTGCCTGTCAACATTCATATATGAAAAGTAGATGTTCAAGATCTCATTACATATAAATCTCCTCAAGTGATGTGCCCTTAATTTTTCAAGTCCCCAACTCCATAACAGGTACAAGCATAATATTAAACTCCTCAACTACCTGTGCCTCATCACTGGCAGATATGGGAGACAGTACTGTAGAACCAGCTATGCAATCCTCTGGATTGCTAATCCTACAAACCATATGTGAAAGTGGCTCATGTATTTCAGCATTCCTACATCAGGCAGCCCAAACTTTGAAAACTCAAATCTCTTCAAAACAATTGATACTTGCTGCTGGATGGGTGAATCGAAAGCTAGCTTGTACATTCAGATTTTTTTTCCTAGCGATTCATATTATCATCCTTCCTACTTATGGGGATAGGAGAAAGGGCTGAAGTGGGGAAGTGCTATGCCTAAACTTTGCTGCAAAACCATTATTTCCCCCCAACTATTATGCAGGAACCTAAATCCAAAATCTAAAAGGCCTTTGAGCAGCCATACTACAAAAAGCTGGTGCGGTCAAGAAAAAATCTAAATGTGATTTACTTGATGAAAAACAATTAATTTGATTATTCCCCATATATTTAATAATTTTCCATTTCTGTCATATTAAAATTACAATTGAACTGCAACCTTTGGAAAGTACTAAGGATACTCAAGGCATTGGTGGGCTGTACATTGTATACTCATTAGAGAAATATTCCCCTTAGCTACTAGTAAGTTAAAAGCTACTTTGTTAACTTATTACATATTACTACTCCAGTTTTAATATAGTCAGTTTTGTATGTCTTCTTGGCTCACAATATTCTTTGAGGTGTAATAATTTTTACTCCTGCCTCTATCAGTTCATTAACAGAATGAATCTACTTATTATGTATAGTCAGTTCCTATAATCAGAGACTCTTTAAAAAAAACACACACACTGTGGTAATCCTACATTCTGCTACTCTCAAAAAAAACACCTTAAACTTGGCTTCTATAACCATGGAAGTACATATCGCTATATTATTTATTCTCCAATACTTGATGTCCAATGATTTTTTTCCCAATACAGTATATTGACAGATGTAAATAGTGTGTCGTATGCATTCTCTTTGCATCAGGCAATCAACTTCTACAATGAAAGTCTCTGTGACAAACACCAAGTAGGCCTCTTGAATTATTTTATCACAAATGTTATCTGTTTTTCTGGAGACTAATCCAGCATTTGTAGCATCCTGCAATTGTTCAATCTTACTTTCCTAATAATTTTAGTAAGTAGAAGGGGCAGAATTAGGAACTATTTCGATTGGATGAAAGCTATTTCACATCAGGAAATAAATAGAGTGGGCACAAAAAGAGAAAACATTTATGTGCAGGTGAGTGCAAATAATACTACTATAGTCTACATAATTTGGAAAAACTTACAGCATTTCCAGAATTATGTTCTACTCCAAATGAAAGAGAAACCAGTGTGTCATCATGGTTAATGAAGACTTATATTTGAGACCATCCTTAGTCAAGGATGTTCATTGGAGCCTCTGGTCCAATATAGCCCAGAAGATTGTTGTTGGAAAAATGGGAGAGGAGAATGCTATGCTTTGAATTTCTGGAAGAAATCTAACAAACTACTGAAAGAGAAAGAGATCTGGCTTTACTGTTCCAAAACCTGCAACGTTCCTCTATTGTTTTCTTTGTTTTGATTCCCCTAGCACAGGGGTAGGCAACCTTGGTTCTTTTATGACTCGTGGACTTCAACTCCCAGAATTCCTGAGCCAGCATGGCTGGCTCAGGAATTCTGGGAATTGAAGTCCACGAGTCATAAAAGAGCCAAGGTGGCCTATCCCTGCCCTAGCAGAAACAATTTAGTTTCAGGATGAATCAAGATTAGTTGGTACATAAAATTAATTAAAAATGCATTTTTCTCCCTGCCCCAATTCTAAATTAGAGTAATCTCACATCAAATCACTCGTGTTAACTAGAAACACACACATTCAATATATATATATACTTATTGTCTCCCAAGAAGTTCTGCTATTCATGCAATATTTTTGCCAGCAGATACTATTCTGGCTGGTACCACCTGATTCAATAGCATCTTTGCAGCATGTGGATGTATCCAGCAATGGATGGAAAGAAGACTACAAAGGGGTTTCTCCTTTGAGTAAGCATTGGAAATTAGAATACAGATAATAAATAATAGCGTAGTGGAAAGTGGCAGCAAACACAACCCTGTATGCATGCAAAACAATCAAGCAGAAGTAGTTTCACACTCATTCTCTCCAGGCAGCACCTGTGAGTAGGAATTTCGCAAAATGACAATGGAGCACATCCTATAAATGAGAACACCAGAAAAACTGTCACATCAGGTTGCTGGAATAATCCCAGGAGCATATAAAACAACAGGTAACCGAATGCAGTTTCTGGCAAAAGCCAGACTCTAGATCCATTCTTCCAAATTCCAATGCATCTAATGCTTGACAGAATGGGAAGCCAATAAATTCATTTTCCTCTCAGTTTTCTATTTCATCAGAGAAAAGTAACCACAAGCATAAACCTTTTATTTCTCTTAGGCCCTGAAAGTCAAGAAAACAGTTAAACCGATACAAAGGGAGAGTTAACAAAACTAGCGTAAGTTTTCTGATTTCAAGATCTGCTTCTTTCAAGTTTGGCAGTTCAGACAAATTTCTAACATTCGTACTCACTGCCTAGAAAATCGTACCAGTTCAATAGACCTTGGTGAACTGTTTGAGGAAAATTTGCTCAAAACCTGTTTTGGAAACACTATGCTTAATTATTAGCATTTCCAAGGATTTTATATATCCAAATATACACTTTATTTAGAATATAACACTATTTTAAGCTAGGTAATTTATAGTTCACATGAACTATATTTATTGAATTTTTAATCACAAATTATAGATGTAAAACAAAGTTACTTATTAAGATTAATATATATATATATTGTTTAATATTTTAAAAAGGCATTTTATTTTGCTTTAAGAGTTACAGAACCATGGAACATGCAATTCCACTTTGGTTACCACATAATCATCATTCTTTTCTACAGTTAATCTTGTTTTTATCTGGATTTTTAAAAATCTTTTCTTAAGTTTTTAGTGGCAACCTGGGTGTAAATTCTACTTAATGGAATGGATAAACTGCACGATTGTTATTTTTAAAGGAGAACTTGAGAAAGGAAAAACTAAATGTCAAAAATATGAGATCACGACATTCATTCATGTTTTATACGGTTCAAAGAATGCCTAGAAATAACTATTGCTGTGGCTAATCTGTTAAAAAAATGAAGTCAATAGGAAATCTTTTACTTTCAAATAATCACAGATGCAGCAAACAAGTCACATTAAAACCCTTCAATAATCCGTTTCATAAGAATTGTTTTTAGTTGACAAAGTGTATTGCTTGAGCAAACAAGTCATATTAAAACCCCTCAATAATTTGTTTCATAAGAATTGTTTTTAGCTGACAGTGTATTGCTTGATTGCATAAAATTAATAATCCACATGCTGAAAATGTGGCCATTGAATTTTAAGCACATTCTGTTAAAGACATTTTCTATAATTATGTTTAAAATTAGAAAATACATTCTTTTGAATGAGACAACCAATTTATAGGAACCTGGTTGTCCGTTTTGCAACTTCTCTTAGACACTACAATAACTTTACATTTCAGTTCCCTATCCATTTGCAGATCAATGAATCACTACTTTTTTTTAATTTAAAGGGTAATAAAGAAATCTTTTAACCGTCTGAACCTCAGTACAAATTTCTAGACTGAAATAAAAAAGAAGCGGGGGAGAGAAGGGGGGAGAGGGAGCAATAAGCATTACATTATTTTTGGCATAGCACTTCTCGGTATTAAAATTTATGTAAATTTTTTCAACGATGACTTCCAAGAAATATTTTTAACAGCCAAAAACAAAACTTCAGGGTACCTAATTGTGAAGCCAGATGCAAATAAGAAGCCTCAAACACCTGGCAAAGTTCTTTCAGGTTAACCCAAAAAGCCCCCATATGTTATTTTGACACGCCACATCAACAGATGAGGAATGGATACTCTTCTTTCATGAGGGACATTTCGTCAGAAACGGCCCAAGTAGGAAGCAGTTGGTTTCTCATGGTTTTCTCAAAACTAAAACAACAAGAGGTTATCAAGAGTTCTGGCCAGCGCAACTACAGGACCAAATAGGGCAGGTGGGGGAAGAGTAATTTTGTTCCTTTGTCCTTTCAGTTGCTTTAAAGAGCAGTCACCCAGGGTAAAACATGAGATTCTTGACTCATTTTATTATTGAAAATATTCAAACATTCCAGCAATAAGAGAAGCCAATGTACCGTTACTTCACCACTGAAGATGAGCATCCTACTATATGAAGAAAACAGATTGTTGCACACATGCACACACATACCACAAAGGGTTGGAGGTTATGCAATATGTTACTGCTCTGAATATATCACAAAGCTTCTTTGATCTTGACATTAGTGAAACAATTGCTGAATCATATTCTTTGGGGCGTATTTGCTTTTAAAAAAATTAAATGAATCTCTCCAGTTTAGATTATATTGAAATGTCTATAAAGGTCATATATATATATATCATTGGAATATTGTATCAAAGTAACTAGTAAGCCAAAAGGCTCAAAGCCATTTCAGAAAAAAGTGCCCACATCACTGAAACTTAATTTTTCTCCAAAAAGATTAAGAAGAGGCTTCCCCACTGAAGATTAGTAGACTTCTCCCAGATCAACAAATTTATTTATTTTATTTATTTTCAAATGTTGATTTTGTTTGATTCCTTAGGAATAAAAACAGTTAGTTTTGTGAACAGGATTAAAAGTCAAAATGGGCTTGCTAATATGAAAGGTACCTATAGAAGAGTTTTAATGAAAACATGGAAACATTTAGGATTTAAATGCTTATGATATATTATTTCTGAATCTTCAGACTGTAAATTTGTGTTGGCAAAATGGTAATTATAGTTCAGGATCTGGTGATATTTACGGCAATATTTACCATAAGACTACAGTTATGAAATTTTAAACTATTTTTAAAAGTCCCCTTATTAATAAAGGACAATCTAAATGAACCTCAGTTAGGACAGCTAACTTCCTGAGGGAATGAGAGAAGATAAATATTTCATCTTAAATATTTAAGATGAAAAAAATCCTTACATTTTAACTTCAATTCTTGTATGTTTTAAACAGAAATAAGCAAAAATGTAATTTGATCGCTGGTGTTTAAAGAAAAGCCAGTGAGATTTTTTAAGGAGTTGGCACAAATGTGTGCAAAGAATGCATAATCTCAGCCATCTTAGTATCTACTAGTGAAGAATGAAGAACGTTGACCTAAAAATTTCATTTCCAGCGCTGTACCAAAATTCAGCATTGATGGAATCCAAGGTTACTCCAGACTTCTTCTACATATAGCTCTCTCAAACAAAGCACAATGAATAGCTATGAGATATTAGTGCAGTGCTCTCCATCACAACATTTTACTAATTTCTGGGAAGTACTAGCTAAAGTCCTCTCTCTCTTTTACTGGTTTTTTTTTTTAAAAAAAAATCTTCTATTTTAATCTATTTTAATTCAGATCACTGTATTTATGGGAGTTAGATCTGTGAAGATATGAGGGTTGTTGTAAGCTTGCTGTATCTATGATATTCTCTGTTTCTGGATTTATAAACTTATTTGCATATAAGAGATGTAAGCATCGTTTGATGACCAAAGGCTGTCAACATGGAGAAAGAGACCTCAAACTGGTAGAATCACATCTCATAAATTGTAGGACTGGGTCTTAAAGGGAGAGTGGCATCTCTGTATTTTAACTTTGATATGCCAGATTTAAACCTCACGGTACAAATTGTATATGCTTCCCACTTTAAAACGGTAGGAGCTATACCATCAGTTCCTAGCAATCATGTTCAAAGAGAACTCAACTCTTTCTTGATGTGTAGGTGGGAGTCATGTCTACCACAAGGAGCTCATTCTATTTATTTTACAGTCTTATCAACTAAATGAAATAAACACAGGCAGAAAGCTTGTTCCTCCTTTAGGAAAAAGAATGAAATGGAAGTATACTATATATTCTGAAGGGTAACTTCATTCTTGGAGAGAGTTCTACTTGTGTATTTGTTTATTTCTAGAGAGTTTACTGAAATTCATAATATGAATAAAACTCCTGTGATCATGAAAAGACCAAAGACCATTTTGCAATACCAAAAAAGAGAAAATGCCACTACTAGTCTTTCAAACTGTGTTCGCTCCAAGTTTGAGGACAGTTTACTGTTATCAACACTCTCCAGACACTATGCCTCATTATTTGATCAATATACTCTCTTCTACCTGCCAATCCATTTTTTTACTAAGCATCTGAATTTTGATCACGTGGCCATGGGGATGCTGCAACAGTTGTAAGAGTGAAAAATGGACACAAGTCACTTTTTTCAGTGCCATTTTAACTTTGAATGGTCACTGAATGAATGGTTATAAGTCAAGGACTTTTTGTACTGTCTTGTGTACACATTCTCTCTGTCTCAAGGCTTATATATCACCAGATCCCAGACTAAGCTTACTAATCTCAAGGGGATATAAATGAAAGATAGATAAGGCAATACATATACATACATACATACATACATACATACACACACACACACACATATATATACATATATATATATATATATATATATATATATATATATATATATATACATACATACATACATACATACATACAGTACATATACACATACATACATACATACATATAAAATTTGGATTGCTAACAAAGAATTAAGGGAGAATGCAATAGCTATTTCGAACTTTTTAGTTCTCATCAGCCAAACATACCCTTCTGAGATTCGAACCTGGGCTGCCTGCATGTTTTGGCTGATGAGAGCTAAAAAGTTCGAAAGAGCTATTCCATTCTCCCTTAATTCTTTGTTAGCAATCCAAGTTTTAATTACAGGATATACATAGAGTAACATTCCCATTAATCTTTTGACTATGTAATAAAACAGACACATATCTTCAATCTTGAAAGTTGGGATGAACAAAGTTTCATGGTTTATAGGATCTAATTATTTTTTGAACAGAACCCCAAGAAATGGGCCACATTATTCTTTAGAACTACAACTTCCATCATTCTTTACCATTGACCATACTCGCAAAAGCTGACAGTAGCTGAGGTTCAATGTCTGGAGGAATACACATTGCCATTTGTAGTCCAATTTGACAATAATCAGAAATCCAGAAGTACAATTACAATCAAGACTGGTTAAATCACATGGAAGTCAGATGATACTGACTTATCATGACGTGATTATGACATTAGACTCATTTGAGCAGATTAATGGAAAAATGGTAATCAGAGTTCTTGAGAACTTCCCTGCATCTACCCATCATTGTTGAACAACTTCCTACTTCCTCTTATCCCTAGCCCTTTACAGAAATAGTCCTAAGTCAATATTGTACTAATGCTAAAATAGCATTTGCCTGCTTTTTCCTACTGAAACCACATTGGTTTAAGTTTGGTAAGTTTCTTATCCTACCTCCAACATGGGCCGAGCACTGTCATGGATTGAAAGAATGTGTGTAATGTTATTCTGTTTTAGTTGTTCGGTGTCACGAGCATCTGTAACAAAGAGGAGACAAGGAAATAAAATTATCAGCTGCACTTATCTTGCTTCTTACAAAAAACATTGAGATGTCTTTCTCTAGTGTAGCCTACCACCTTGGGTTGTTACGAAAGTAAAACATGGAAGAATCATACTAACCCATTAAGGTCATGGAAGATGAACTCAACATATAATTTGGAGGCGTTTTGATTTTTTGATTCCATGAAATTAATAGAATCAGAAAACATGATTTATTGTAAGGTTTGCCACCATGAAGTAGCTGGATTCTAGCATTATTAAAGTTACCTGAAATGTTCTGTATTTCATATACTTATTTGCAAACTATTTACAGTTAATTGAACAAGTACGTTCAATAGCTTATCCCTTCATCGCACTTCTCTACAATAGAAAAAGCTGCTTAAACATAGATAGTCAGAGGAGAAAAAAAAATTCTGCAAAAGGGAAACTCCCAGGCTTCTCCCATTACGAACACTAAACTAGCACAAAACAACTTGCTGTGATGATCATGTAATCCTTGAAACAAAATAATCTGATTAATCGTTTTAATCTTTTATTTTATTTTATTTTTAAAAGTAGCACTTATTTTCAAAATTAGTATCATGTGAATTTTATGTCATGAGGAGAAAACAAATCTGGATTAATAATCAGCTTAATAGCTTGCCTGGTGTAGCTATAGGAGCAAAAAAAAAAAAAACAACCCCAAACAAGCTGTGTCAACATTAATTCTAAAGAAATTGGAAAATTTCCCCTGCAATATTTTAGGGCAGTATTTCTCAACCCCAGCAATTTAAAAATGTGTGGACTCTAACTGCCAGAATTCCCCTGGAACTGCCACCGTTCCTCCTAGGAGGATCCATTTTACACATTAGGTCCCAATGACTTGCTGGAAATCTTGACAGCTTTTGAAAGCTCAGAAGGAATGGGCCTGGCTTGGTCTTCAGGGGAACATTATAGAATAGCGTGTGACAGAATTACAGAGAAGGCCTAAGGTCCCTGCAGATAGAACTCTCTCTAGGCAGGAAGTCAGAGAGAGCTTTCACAGTTTCCAGCTCTTACTAGAAAGATATAATAGACTGGACATTCTCAAAGATACCCAGAACCCAAGCTAAGAGGAGATTTAAGATGGCCAGTAGTATTTTGAATTGCGCATGGAAACTAACTGAAGCAACTGTGTTATATGGGCAAAATATTGGTATTCATAAATGTCCAAGCTGATGCATTCTGGGGCAGCTAGAACTTCCAGATAGTCTTCAAAGACAAGCCTACATGCAGCAGATTGCAGAATCCAAAGAAAAAATGACTAAGGAATGAATAATCATAAACAAAGTTTTCTGAGCAGGGAAAAGTTGCAACTGGCACCAGGATGAAGCTGGGCAAAAGCCCTTTTAGCCACAGCTGGTTGTTCCTTGAGCAAAAGCTCTTCAAGAAGCTTCCAAAATACAGAAAGTTCTGCTCAGGTGTGACTCATCCAAACCAAAAATGGAATACAGGTAATTCTTGACTTACAACCACAATTGGGACCAGAATGTTGGTCACTAAGTGACGCAGTCATTACTGAGTCATCACGTGACCAGATCTGATTTTATTGCATTTTACCCATGGATATTAATAGCAATAGCACTTAGACTTATATACTGCTTCACAGTGCTTTACAGCCCTGTGTAAGTGATTTACAGAGTCAGCATATATTGCCCCCCAACAACCTGGGTTTTTATTTTACCGACTTTGGAAAGATGGAAGGCTGAGTCAACCTTGAGCTGGTCAGGATCAAGGGAATCGAACTCCTGGCAAAGTGAGCAGAGTTAGCCTGCAATACTGCATTCCAATCACTCTGCCACCAGGGCTCATTATTAAGTGAATCACATTAAGTCAGGGATCCTCAAATTTGATCACTTTAAGACTTGTGGACTTCAACTCCCAGAATTCCCCAGCCAGCATGGCTGGCTGGGGAATTCTGGGAATTGAAGTCCACAAGTCTTAAAGTGGCCAAGTTTGAGGACCCCTGCATTGAGTAAATCTGGCTTCTCCAATTGACATTGCTTGTTGAAAGCTGGCTGGGAAAGTCGCAAACCGTGATCACGTGACTGCAAGATGCTGCTATCATTATAAATGCAAGCTGGCTGCCAAGTGCCCAAATTGCAATCATGTGATTGTATGGGTGGTACGATGGTTATAACTTTGAGGATGGGTGGCAAGTCACTTTTTCCAAGACTCTCATAACTTGAAATTGTTGAATGAACGGTTATAAATCGAGAACTAGTAGTTTGTCAGACGCAAAGCTACACTATCATGTTGAGATTGAATTATTTTCAGACCATAACAATCTCCAGGCAATGGGAGAGAAAGTATTTTAACCCTACTTCCAGTTCAATACGTGTAACTTGAGCATCATCTGTATATTTAATTTAAACATTAAGAATAATCTTCCCTTTCATATAGATGTGCATATGGAATATTAATATTGATATTCAATAAGAAATTATGTTAATCCTGATTTTCAATGTTGGGCTGATAAAACAAATAATATATCCATATATTGGCTACTGGGGGAACCACAAAAATACTTTTATCTTTACTTTCAAGTTATTTATGTATTACCCCTATAGGAATGGCTTAGAGTATCTCAAGGGCCGTTTTACACAACACAAGCAGCAAGACTGGAGATCTTCTGACTTTTGCTATAGCCTTAAACACTTAAAAAAAAAAAGTTAAGCTATATTTTGGTCTTCACTAGCTACAGAAGGAAAGGTTTTAAAAAACCAAATTGGGAAACAGATACCAGGTCTTGGTTTCATCACATTGGGTGCCTCTGACTTTAAGCTCATATTGCAAAGCAAATTTCTTCACAGTATGATTCTACTAAGTTTCAGATGAGATTGTGTGCACCAATCCATTATCTGTTTTTTACAGATACAAACCTGCATCCCCTCTGTTAATAAATCCAGGTTACCTATCTCCCATTTGATGCATTTTTTTAGCTTTAGAAAAGTGGTCATTCGTGTTAATTTCCATTCTATTGTTTACACTACATCAAACATCTAAGCAGTATTCTTAACCAGAGAGAAGGCCATGATTTAGCAGTTGTGTTAATCATCATGATGTCATTCATATAAAATGTAATCCATTTGGGGGTTTCTGATGAAACAGGAACACAGTGCCAAAGTCTGATCAGAAATGGTGCACTCTCTCACCCGACTTGAGAGGCACGGTTTAGCAGCATGGAATTGTGCTTTTCAAAGTAACAGCCTACAATTCTGTCTTCTCTTCGTTGTGTGGTTAACCTTCAAAGGTCTGCTGTTCTAGCACACCATTTCTCTGATAGAACAGTGAACAATTTTTCAGCAAAAAGGGTCTGTCATTTCATTTTTGTCTCAAAATCGAAAGGGGAATGCTGAAGCAAATGGAAAACACTTCTATATTTCATCTTTTAAGAGACAAACGAAACATACCAGACTGGTTCAAACTATGAAACCACAACTTAACTGAATTAAAGTAGTTTTGGTCCCTTCACCTTCTCCTACAGCTTTCGCTTCTATTTTCAGTCAGGCCTGGATGAGAGGGTCTGTCAAAACCCTAAACCACGAGGAATATTAAATATGGCCAATTAAACAAACTAGCTTCATAAGCCAAAGTTTGAAGTGGTTTTACTCGAGTAAATGATATTTAAAATTAACCACACTTTGTCCAGAGGTCATAGAGGACATTAAAAAGGCAGCATTCCTCAGAGATGGCTGGAGAAAATGAAAAGACAGCATGTGAAATCAAGGCTGGGCAGGATTCGTTTTCTGGCCACTGTTTCTAATATTCACGGAAGAAATGAAACTGATATGATGTCCCCCTTTTAACTCTGAAACTAAAGTTTAATGGAAACTATAAAGTGAAATTATTTTCTTTCTTACATGACTTTTGTGATGGTACAATGTTCAAAGGAGCTAACAGGGACATGGGTTTCTACCTATTTAGATTTTTCAAGTTCTGGAACTCAGTGTGAAATATTTGGCAGGGGAGGGAACAGCCTGGAAGTGCCAAACATCCCCTAGGAAAATAACAGTTAAGGAGAAGAGAGTAGCTGCAATAATAATGGATCTATTTTGACAAGAAAGTAAGATCAGCAAGCACTTTAGATAAGGTGAAGCAAATGGCATTTCTCTGGCCCAATTCTCCCTTCTAAAGAAGATCCACTGTATTATACGCAGACCATAAAGGTTTGAATTTTTAACAAAATCAAACTTTTGCCTATAGAATAGGTATCTCCAAACTTGACAACTTTATGACTTGTGGACTTCAATTCCCAGAATTCCTCAGCCAGCCATGCTGGTTGGCGAAATCTGGGAGATGAAGTCTAGAAGTTTTAAAAGTTGCCAAGTTTGGAGATCCCCTACTATAGAATATTAGCCCTTGAAGCTAAGATAGTTTTTAATTTTTAATTTTATATTTGTTATTTAAATTTAAATTTATATTTGTTATTTAAAACTGCTTGAAAAATTGATCAGAAGGGCACTCATATTTCTTTCAAATAAGTCAATCTGAGCCACTGTTCCTTGGGAGCACTAAGCAAAACTTCTAAGGGGACAGAGTTGTAACCCCCCCAATGTTGGGGATGCAATGCAGAGTACTTTGCAATAGCTGCTAATAAAATTCATCTTACCTTTAAAATTTCCAAGGAACAAACCAGGAAGTATCTGTGAGAGGAAAAAAATAATATCAAATGTCAATCTTTTGTGGTAATATGGTATGACGCAGTTCAATTTGCATACAGAGGGGAACATAATACCACTCAAGCACAGTAAGGTTTACGTGCTATTTCTTGTCACATTCCCACACTGTTTTACACTTAAATGGCATGTTTGTACCTTTCAGTTATAATGTCCCATAATTTAAGAACAGTATATACTCCAAACATGGGTATACAATCTGGTTCCCTCTAGATGTTCTACAGGCCAAAACATCTGAGTGAGGGTTAGAAGATTACCAATAGAAGAGAATATTTGTAGCTCGGGGTTCAACAGAAGATTAATTGCTCTGCCTCTAAACTGACATACGTTATTTCTAAATTGGTTTGCTTGTATATTTCTGGACTCTATACAGTATAAGAATTCTTAGAACAAGACAAGCAGAGGTGGCTGGGAGCTACCTTACCAGTTTTATTCTTGGTCTTACCCACCATAGCAGCCATTTTGTGAAAAGAGAAATTGCCTCATTGTAGCTCATAACACACTCACACAATTCTAAATGAGGCCCAGAAGGTTGCCATCCATGATGTGAGTCAATAGAAGGGCGCTTCCAATTTTCCCCAAAATATAGGTAGTCCTTGACTTATGACCACAATGGAGCCCAAAATTTGCAATGTGAAACGAGATACTTGTTAAGTGAATTTTGCCCCATTCTGTAACCTTTCTTGCCACAGTTGTTAGTGAATCACTGCAGTGGTTAAGTTAGTAAGAAATTGAATGTGGCTTCCCCCCCCCCTTCCCCCATTGACTTAGCTTGTTGGAAGCCGACTGGGAAGATTACAAATCATGATCACATGACCCTGGGGTAGTGCTATTGTCATAAATACATGCCACTTGCCAAGTGTCCAAATTTTGATCATGTGATCATGGGATGCTACAACGGTCATAAGTCACTTTTTTCTGTGCCACTGTAACTTCAAACAGTCACTAAAGGAATGGCTGTAAGTCAAGGAATATTTATACCATCTGGATGTCTAGTATGCTAGGTGCTGCTTAGGAAGATCACCCAAAATAACGTTGAAAGGTGTACCCAAGGCACAATGAATTTATTTATTAGACTTGAATGCTGCTCATCTTGCCTAGAGGTTACCATGCTCCTATTTCTGATTCTGAAATGTTGGCAGGTATGGAAAAGCCTGAACTCAAAGGGAAACCAAGGACAAAAAAAAAAAAAAAAGACCATCAGCTTTGCACAGATCTCTCCTTCTTTAACCCAACATACCAAAAAGCCTACCTGTTTCCACAAAATCCACTGTCAAAATTTAGCTTGCCAATCATGAACTTTCCTTGGTCGGCTCCTTTGACAATGGGAAAGAAGGAGGCAGGAAACTTGTTCATCATTTCAGGAATGCACCCCGTACAGGATATCTGAGGTACGACATTTGCCTGGAATACTATGCCTTGTAGATTGTGATAAATCAGCGACAAGTGGCAAATGCCTGTTAAAGCAGTAGGAGATTTTCTTTGGTTTTACTTTGTTGTTGTTTTTCTTTAACAGCTACTAAACTGCTAGCAGAATAGCTCCTAGAATTGTCAGCTACTATTATAAATTTCTCTCTGAGGAAGTCAGCAAGCGCATAATGGCCTGTTTATTTACAAATCATAACTCAGAGACATTTAGCCATCATAGCTGTCATGTCTGCTACCACAAAAACAACTCTAAGAAAGACTGGTCCCATCATATTGTTAAAATAAAACACTGCTAAAATATTTAGGATAGACTTTTTTTTAAGGAACTTGTTACCAATGCTAAATTCTTTTACCACATCCTTGCCATTCTTTCTTGAGCATGGCTTACTTTGGGGGTTGTTCCCACATTCTCATGACATAGGATGCTTGCAGACTAGCACCCCACATTCTGGAGGAGGAGGAGGAGGAGAGGACTGAAGAAACAGTGCACTAACTGGTAAGCTGCTGCAAGAAGACTGCACAGACTAACTACAAGCAGCAGCATGACAAAGTAGCAACAATGGTGCATTGGAACATCTGCAAGAAATATCATTTGCCTACAAGCAAGAACCGGTGGGATCATAAAATAGAGAAAGTCATATAAAATGAAGAAGTTAAATTGCTCTGGGACTTTAGAACTCAAACAAACAGGCACCTGCCACATAACACCCCGGACTTAACATTTGTCGATAAGAAAGGCAAAGAAGTCTGGATAGTGGACATGGCAATGCCTGGAGGCAGCAGAATAGAAAGAAAGAACTGGAGAAGATAACAAAATACAAAGACCTACAAACAGAAATAGAATGACTATGGCAAAGGCAAGCAAGGGTAGTACCAATAGTAATAGGTGCCTTGGGTGCAATCCCAAAACAACTGGAGCGCCACTTGAACACCCTTGGCCTTGAAAAATTTGCCATCAGTCAATTGCAAAAGATAGTTTTACTGGGAACAGCTTCCATCCTGCAATAATATCTGTAATACCATCAAACATCCACATCTTCCTATACCAAGTCCTTGGTAAGGACTGAATAGATAGACAAAACTGCCAAACCCAGACTGAACATCTGGCTGACTCTGTGATGATTAATAATAATAATATGCAGATATTAACATGTGGGTGATAAGTTCCAACAGTTACAGCAATAACCAGATATCACTTTAGATTAAATGAGCAACATCAAGGTATTTTAATACATCCATAGCAAGACTTCTGTATCCCCCCCAGTCAAGTGCATTAGAGCTAGATATTATGAAAAGATTCCTAATTTCTCCTTATCCTGTAATAATAAAAACATTAGAAAGAATCATATTTCCAATAGATAACTATTTTCCTATTGATCCAATCCTAATGAGCAGATATGGAAATTACAGACCTGGACAACCAAACATACTGATTACCCTATGACAGTGATCCCCAACTGCTGGGCCGTGGCCCACTACCGGGCCTTGAGCTGTTTGGAACCAGGCCACGGAAGTGGTGGGCAAATGTATGCGTGTGCATTCCCATTTGTGTGAGCAGTGGCCAAGCAGATGAACCCCATTTGTGTGAATTGTGGCCACATGTGCTTGCCCACCATTTGCTGAACCATCCCCCTCTCCCCACCGCTGGTCCGCAAAGCCAGAAGGGTGGGGAACTCTGCCCTAGGAGCATAATGTAGTAAAGGCCAATAATACGTCCCTTTACAAAGTTGCGATCCTAGTAGTGCTTCAGATGAGGCAGAACAACAACTCCCAGAAACCCAAGCCAGCATGACCAATTATGATATCTCAGAATTCTAGATGAATGACAGTTTCCACTTCATTAAACAATGTTACTGTTTAATACTGGCATTCATAACAATACTGACAAAGTTCATCAGAGGTATTTATTACTTCATCTTGTTTGCAATTCCACTTCTGAAGAATCCAAGCAGCGCCCAGATAATAAACAAAATATTAAAAAATGAACAATCCACATATAACTTAACTTAACTCTAACCTAACAACATCCTTTAATAGACAGCAAGATCTTCAAGTGTCCCCAAATATCTTCCTGGAGATCCAGAGTTCCAAGGCTCTTTGAAAGTGCAGTAATGACAGGGTAGCCCAAATATGGGGGGGGGGGGGGGAGGCTGTCCCAATCCAATAGAAGGGATAAAAATAATGTGATCACAAAGCAGGTACAATTATTCTGCAGCAAGAACATTATTCTAGATTTTGCAGTAGGACTTCTGAGCTCTTGTGTATCTCTGTGTTACCAAAGAAAAACAGGATTAGCCAAGTCAGAGACTGATCAAACTGAAGATCTATCTAGGTCAGTGTTTCTCAACCTTGACAATTTTAAGGCATGTGGACTTCAACTCCCAGAATTCCACAGCCAGCAATGCTGGCTGTGGAATTCTGGGAGTTGAAGTCCACATACCTTAAAATTGTCAAGGTTGAGAAACACTGATCTAGGTGGTTGCTAAGAGTTAGCACTGACTAGGTGGCACATTATCAGATCAAACTATAAAGATTTAATACACTACAAGTCCACCATTATTTAACCTGCCAGGTTCCTTGCCCCATCTGACAGTTTTTTTTAAAAAAAAAAATAGTTGTAGAATGTTGAAAAAACAAAGTACTAATTTCTCGTATCAATTTAATTGCAAAGAATGCGTGACACAGAAATTCTTGGAAAATAAAAACCATGCATGGCTGCAGGTCAATGCTTGCTTGGATGTGTGCCCACCTGCCCAGATAATTTTTTAAGCAAATGTAAGATGGGGTGTTAGAAAGCATCTTGTGCAATTATATAGTGTAGAGAGTTCACATTTCAAACTTGGTTTTATTCAGAGGTTTGAATGATTTACTTCACTGGGAATATGGCATGGGGAACTAAAATTAAAAAGGATTCTGCTATTATTTGAGATGTTCCTTCCATTGAAGAGGATTTTTTTTTTTTTGCGCTACACTAACCCCCTTTTCCAATTCCTGGGTTTAAGGTCTTGCAAGAGTAATGCTAACTTGAGACCTCTGCAGCTTCCTTTCACACAAGATGAATAGCAACAACATTAATAAGAGTTTTGTATGTTCTCCATCATGAAAACAATGAAAAAGTCATAAACTATTCAGTTGTTTTCTTTCTTTTCTTCCTCAAAAGGAATGTGGGTGAGGGTTTCTGCTGGTGCGGGACCCACGACAGTTTAAGGTGGCACAGTAATTTTCACTTATTCTCAATATCGCAAATGAGCTTCAAAATGTTTTTGGTGAGGGTTCAGGAAATGAAAATGATGATGTATGGAAGAACCCTTACGTCTTTCAAGTATAATAATTTGGGTGGTATGTATGTACGTATTTCCTGCTTTTACATTACAATCAAAGTGGGAAATGTCTTATAATGTGCTCTCATAATATAATTTAAAGCCTGTTCATAAGTAAACACTGCCACTAGGAAAATTTAGAGAATAGACAAGGCTGATTTTGCCTGGAAGCCATGAATCAGCCTTCACTTCTAAAAAGATAAGACGATGCCCAGCTCAGAATGGCAAGAGGGAAAAAACAGAGAATGTTGAGTTAGTTTGAAGAGAGAAATGACACATGAATAAAATAATTAATAAATATTTATATATATATGTGTCAACCAGGAAATGACTCAAGTAATATATCACATTTTGGCATGTGGTAGCATAAAACGGCCCCAAGTCCAATGCTTGCTCTGAAGCCCTCATTGCCCTTGGTTTATGGAAGAAGCTGCAGTGCAAAACCTGGCCAATTTTTGTGTGCCAAGACTGGCCCATGTAAGCCAAAGGGAAGACACCAGGTGGTCTCTTACTTTATAGCATCTTAGTGGGCAAGATGAGCTACACCATCCTCTAGAGCAGGGGTGTCAAACTCAATTTCATTGAGGGCCGCATCAGCATTTCGGTTGCCCTAGGGGGTGTGTGTGGCCAGGGTGAATGCGGCCTACTGAGTGGGCGTGGATGGAGTGGGTGTGGCCTACTGAGTGGGCATGGCCAGCTCTACATCATTCCCATCAATGGTGCCTGTGGGGGCCTGGGCAGGAGTGGGACAGATCTGAGGCTCTCTGGCAGAAGGGGGTGGGACCAGGACCACTTCCAGGTGATGATGCATTTCTTCATTCCTCACAAAGGGTGACACCTCCCCAGCATGCACCCAGACGGCGGGGCCAACGCAGTAGGGGCTGATTCCTTGCTGTTTCCAGACAGCTTTGTGGAGCTAAGACTGAATGCGTTTCAGCATAGATGGCCACCACAAAATTGTACATTGGCTCCCAGCTGGCCTGGGCCAGGGCCAAGGCAGTGGGGGCCATTCCCTCACTGTTTCCAGGATGGCTTCGCGGGCCACATGAAACCACTTCGCGGGTCGCATCCGGCCCCCGGGCCTTGTGTTTCACATGTCTGCTCTAGAATAAGCAAGAAGCAATCCAGCCGAGCCTATGATGCTAAAGAGCGTCTAATCTAAAATAAGGCAAAAAGAAAAACAACCTGGAGACAAAGAGAGAGAGAGAGAGTGTGTGTGTGTGAAGGGAAGAATGTGGAGTAAATGTCTCTCATTCCACTCTATGTAGGTTCCAAGAGCGGACATGCTACCTTGGGTGGCATTACCGATTGGTCAGACAGGAACAAACAATAGCCAGATGATCCAAGCACCAACTGTGGCAACAGCAGCTGTTTGCAAGCTCTGGGGGTTGGTCCTGGTCAGTAAGGGGAAGGAAGTAAGCCTCTCCGGCTTAAGAACAAAGGGAGTTTTGAAAATTGAAGTAATCCCACCAGCAGATTTCTCTTGTCCAAACCATATATAGCTTTGACCAAAGGATAGACTCAGTTGACCAACTAAGGCAATTTATGAAGGTCAGATCAGATCCAGAGGCATATAAATTTGCAGTTTTAGCCCTTGATTTTCATTAG